TCATTAATCGGATCACGTTCGGGTCACCACTTTGTCATTCAATCCTACTGATGTTTAGATCTAACATTAAGCAGGCAAACACGAACAGTAACAAAAAAGAACTTTATTAGAAAAGGTTAGAACTGTCACAGACATCCTCGGGCAACACCCGGACAAAATCCAACGAACTTTCGCGCCTTTTCTTTTTTTGACGTTGCCAGCCACTCTTGTTGGCAAGTGTTGCCAGACAGTGTTCAGGATCTCTGGCGCTGGCGGCCACAAGTCGATCGTTTTTTATTTTCAGTAGAAAATACTGTAAAATCACTTAAATCAGTCAGCACACAGGTAAGGAACTAGGTCAACTGGACCAGCAGGGTAAAAGTTAAAAAACTTTTTATATTTTTAAATTATTATAAAATGGCAAAAACCTTAATTTTGAGGAAAGGAATGAGTTTTTATAAAAATGCGAAAATGTTAATAATGAGTACAATCTTTGTTAGCTCCGACCCACTTGAGATATAACACATAACCCCCTCTATCTCCCTATCCCAAGACCTTTAACCACCAAAATTTAATAGCATCAATCCTCCTAATACACAAACCTCCTTGCAAAATTTCAGAAATTTTCAACAAAAAGAACAGGAGTTATTAAGCTTCAAAGTGGGTGAACAAAATTATTCCCCCACACATATGGGAAAAATCCCCAAATTTTTTGTATTTCTTGACATTTCAAGGTCCCTGAGTCCAAAAATGTAAAAATCTTAAGGGGCCATTTTTTGATTGATTGCCATACTTTACCCTCTTATATATAACAGAGCCAGAAAAGTAAAATTGAATTAAAAGCTTTGAACTCATTCAAAATAAATCCAATAAACATAACTAACACTTTGTAATTATCAACTTTTTAAACTTCTTGGCTTCTTGCCAATGTTACAAAATCTAACTGCTAAGTTTTCTGATTCATTCAACTTTACAGATATGGGCACTAAATTGAGATAATTCAAAAAAGCTTTACTTTTGCCAGTCTGACCCAATAACACTGAGACAGAACCTTCTGAGAGCTTTGTAACTGAGATCTCTATAAGTTTCATCTGTATTCCTATAATCTTGACTATAGGCATCTTAAAGTGGTTCCAATCTAAAAATAGTATTTTGAGATGATTGGTAAGTGAAACATTCCTACTAAGCTTAAGGTTTCCAAAGATTTCAGTCATTAATCCAGATTCTACAAAAATTTTCTGTCTCATTTGATTCATGTTCATAAGGACAAGGTTACAGGAACACAGAAAAAGCTTTGAGTTTATCCTGTCTTATGTTATGCAGCAGATTGGCAAAAAAATAAGTTAATCGAAAAGTGGATAAAAATCATCTATTATTTCCATTAGAAAGAATTAGCATAAAACTGTACAATTCAATTAACATGCCAACTTATTATCTTTCTCCTATATCAGGAGTCACCAAACTACAACCCACAAGGTCAGCTCATCCGGCTCGCTGCCACACTGCCACAAATGAGCTAAAATATAATTATTTATATGGAAATATCATAGATTGTAGATAAACTTAATATGTAGAAAAGATTAAAATAAGTGTAAGTAAAACTGCCAAAATTGGGCTAATCTAATTTTTGCATCTGACAGTAATATAATTTTTAGGTAAATCAGTGAAATAAAAAATCTGGCAATACTTTTTGTGATTTTGAATATCAGAGTGCTTTTTGTGTTAAATATCTGCAATAAAGTTTCTAAGAAAAGCAATTATGATGTTGCTACAGCGATCGTGTTTGTGTATTGGTAAATAAACACATTGGTTGTCTTTATTCTTTGTGTATTCAGTGTACATTGAACAAAATGGTTATGCAGCCAGCACTCGTCATTCTCTCAGTTATCTGGCCTGCTGTGAAAAAAGTTTGGTGACCCATGTCCTTTATTAAGATCATTGACATTAGTGTAGCTACTGTGGAGCAGTTGGAGCAAACTGCTCCAGGTGCACGAATCATGAGGACACCAAGTTAGAAAGTTATCAAAATCAAAATTAATCACACCTTATTTAAGAAGCATCGTGTCACAACACCGTCTTAGTTCTTTGGCTACTATTATCAACTGAAAATACAATAGTTTGTCAATGTGATCTGGAGAAAGTAATTGACAGATCTGCAAACAAAAATGCAAGAAAACAACAATTTTGAAGTTTTTTTTATGTATTGTTAGTTATTTGTTATGAACTAAGCTTGCATACATTTTGTCAATACAATTTATATAATATGTAATAATTATTATTAGGTACTCCGTACTTAAAGAATTATATTTCATTTAAATTGAAAATCTTTTTGTTGAAATGCCTTGAATCTCAAATAAATTGTTATTAAGTAAGATTTTAAATTGGAATAATTAGATATATGTTTTCAAACTAAATGTTCAAAATAAATTTCACAAGTCCTCTTCCAAGGAACTAGTAAGTGCACCGATTCTACTTGCTCCAGGGCACCGAATATGTAGCTTTGCCACTGATCATTGATGAATGTTATAGCATCTGAACCTTAACAGTTTAATGTTTACACATGGCTTTATATTTCAACTAAATGACTAGTATTTTTGTAGCAATCTAATATTTTTTAATTGTGTAATTCATAAATTTATAAATTTACTTTATGCAAATTATGTTGCTACAATATCCTGTTTTACATCTGTTTAATCCCATTGTATTCTATTTAGAATTTATAGTCTGAAAAAGTTCTGATATAAATTGCATTTGTATGGTACACATGGCAGATTTGGTGGCTATGTTTAAGATGCAGACGTCAACAGTGTGCAATCAGTATGCTGTTGACTTTGGCATCTTAAACATAGCTGCCAGATCTGCCACACATGTACAGTACCACTTTCATGCTTTGCGATAAGCTCTTTTTTCATCTCAATTCTAAATATCACAAACTTCCTCACACTTCTTGGATGCTATGATTAATAAGTAAATGTTACAATTATATTGGCTTGAACAAAAATTATTTTGAATATTTTTAACAGTTATCATTACTTAACATAGATATGTGGTTTAATTATAACAGTTGTGAAATTAAACACATTATTACTAATGTGAGATTATATTCTTTGTTTATGAAGTAAAAAGTTTAAAATAAGTTCTCTATTTTGTTTGAATAAAATCAAGTTGGAATGTCTTCAGAAAAAAAAAAATATCAGGAATATTATGCTTTATGAGTTTCATAAAGGTTATAACAACATTGTACAAACAGTTTAAAAAATTTGTAATGTGTATGGGGAAGATACTCTTAAACTTTGAACATATCAATTGTGGTTTTAAAAGTTCCATTTGGAAAATTTTGAACTAAAGGATACAAAATGTACAAAGCACTCAAAAGCTATTGACAAAGAAAAATTGAAGAAAGAAATTGCTAAAAATTGACAAACAGCACACAATATATATAAACAAACACATCAAAAATAAAGTGAAAAAATCATTGAAAACATACAAGCATAATGCAACTGGACACACAACAGATTGCATTTACACTTTGAGCACACTGTATACTTCATTATTTAAAAAAGTAACTTTAAAAATTTACCACATGAGAATCATCAGCTGCATTATTTTCTGCACACTGCTTTTCACCATTCAACTGCATTGTATCAGATTCTTCCTTAATATCATCATCGTCATCATCATCATCACCTTCATCATCATCATCGTCGTCATCGTCATCATTTTCCAATTCTGGAGAATCTGCAGCTTTTTCAGTTTCAACTAAAATAAAACAAAGACAATGTATTAATAAAAGTTATTATTGTTCTTACTTTTTAATAGGTTATGCATTAATTGCATAACATATATTAATTATGTATTAGTGAGCTCTATAATGGCCTCTTTATTTCTAGACTTATCACACCATCATCAGACACAAGACCAGCCTCAATATATCAATTTATTTTTAATAGTAATCTCCCCCTCAGCTTTTTTACAACTATTTAAAGATAAAAACAAGTAAGTTAAACCGCCATTAACACTACTAGTTTAGATCTTAATATAACTTACATTTTCTGCAAAATTGACATATTTACAACTCCAAATCATATAGAGAAATTTTGACATTTGGCAATAATCGTTTACAATTTTATCCATTAAGTACAGTAGACCCCCCTATAACGCGAAGATACATTCCTCGTTATACAAATTTCGCGTTGTTGAAATCCTTGAGCTGTGATTGGCTCACGTATTTGACACGTGTGAAGTTTACAGACTATGGCTGTTTGAAAGGTTTTCTTCCATAAAATTAATCGATTCTAGACTAATTCAACCTAACATTTCCAAAATACGTATATTTTTTTTGGAAATAATCCGTATAAACTACGCTATAAACAAAAAATTGTAGGATTACTTACCGAGTGTGCACCCTTCGACATCGCCGTTGCTCAAGCTTGTTTTCGTCGCGGAACAGCGCAGCAAACCGCGGCCGCGATTTCTGATGTTATTTTTCTGCGAAAACTTCGTTGAACTTTGGAGACATCATTAATATAAATAATTTTAATCGCCGTTGAATAAGAAATGTTT